AGGGAGAGAGAGAGAGGGAGAGAAAGAAAGAAAGAAAGAAAGACAGGGGGAGAGAGAGAGAGAGGGAGAGGGGGAGAGAGAGAGAGAGAGAGAGAGAGAGAACTGAACCAAACTAAAATGAGTATGACTGTTTTAACATCTCATTCTGCCCACGCTGCATTGTGCAGCCTGTCAAACATTAAACACTGTGAGATTATCTCACTCTTGACAGCAGCCAATATCCAGTCTCTAGTTTTGATTTGGTGTGATCCCTGAACAATAAAAACACTTAATATGACTGAAATAGACCGTGGGTGCCATATTTCCCTATAATTTCATAGAAAGGAACTGATATGTTACAGTCATTGATTTCAAAGATTTTAAATTTGTCTACAGGCAAGCATCAGTTTAACAAGTTGGTAGAAAAAAAACTCCCAATCATAAATTAATATTTTCTTAGCTTTAATGTATCAGTTTTTCCTGTCATTAAGACAAACTGCTCAATAATTCACGACTAAGATAAATTACTATTTCAGAACTTTGTCTTCATTTGACCAATATTTACTGTCTCTTCATAGTTGCAACCCATACAGCCTAATGGACAGGTGTGCTAAACATCACCATAAACTTATTGTGTCTTGTGAAAGAAATAAAAAACCATGCACACTGTCTCTTAACAGTGAACAACAGTTCTGTCTTCAGACATTTATCAGGTAAAATGAATACAAACAAGGAGCACCAGTAACAGAACATACAATTATTACACAATTACCTTCAGTTTTTTCTAGGAAACCTCCCCTGAAAGTTACAGACCTTCAGAATAAAGCATTACTTAAATGTCTGGAAAATCAATGGATCAATTCTTTCAGGGAATTAAATATCTGACAAGTACTTAATCGTACTGCAAAATTCTATAAAAATACAATATTGTCATAAAGCTGCCACGCTCAGTGATTTGTAAATTTGTCCACAATTGCTTCATGCAAGCAGAGATAGAAAAAAGGAATAACTGTAATGTAATGTCAAGAATGACAGTTGACAAATATAAAAACATTTACATTATATACAGATAAGTGACAATATAAAGGAAAAACAAACTTCCTAGTGTCTGGAATCACCTCCATTCTCCTATAGGTGTTCACATCATTTTCATTCTACAAACCATTCAGTGACCCTCCCCGTCCTGTATGAAAGCATCTGCATTTGTCATGTCCATTCACTCATTTATTCAGTTTTATTTGTCACCTGTCTTAATGGTTTCTTTCAAGACCCCTAGTTTTCCTTTTTCCCTTTGAGTAACGGAAACCAGGGATAAATAGGTTTTCTATATTTAATCCTGCAACCTGTTTTGGTCACTTAAATTTATGTGCGTTGTTTATCTGTAAAAGGTGTTTCTACCTTGATGGTGGAAACATAAGAATTTATCTACTTCTGACTTCTTTTTCTGTTATCTTAATGCTCCTCATGAGCGTTAATGGAAGTATTAAACAGCAGTATTTTTATTTACTAAAACTTTTACGTACTCTCAACTCTTCTAGACTTCATGTCATGTTAACAGGTAGAAGTTATTCCCGTATTAACAGTTATTCCTGTGTTGACAGTTATTCCTGTTTTAACAGTTATTCCTGTGTTGTGTGGAAAAACACCACAGTGTGCTTTTGTTTTTATAAAATTTGAAGTGTTGTTAGATGGCTGGTGATGGAAAGCCACAAAATCACTCTCCATTGATCTATCTGACTCTCTTTTGTCTAGTGGTGGAGCGGAGCTGCTTTTTAATGGTGTAAAGGAACATCATGTGACCCTTCCAAGCCAATCGGACCCCTGTGAGTATCACCTGTCTGTGCATGTGCATAACTGGTGTGTTTACAGACTGTGGTTACAAAATGTCAAATAGCAGCAGCTCAGGAAACCCAAGTATGAGAAATGTTCCTAATGAGTGTTTAGAATTGTCACTTAAAGGTCCTGCCCAGTGTTTATGCAGCCATTAGTCCGTTTACTGCAGATTATCATCTCGCCTGCCAAATGACAACTTTTTACTGCGACTTAAAAGTACAACTAGATGACGAGGTTCAGTGTGATGGATTACATATCAAGTTTGAAGCCCCGTCATATTGACGGTCACAATGTAGTGAAGTGAACGGAAACCAATCGCTTCCTTCCTGGCAGGTAGGATAAATGCTTTCAAAAATATAATATAGATTTAATTTAGAAACCAAATCATATTGTCGATCACTTTTTTAAAAACTTTATTAATTACGCCCCACAAACTATGTTTGTAACACTTGTTTATTTTCATCCCAAATTTGTCAGAACATTTTAAAATCTTTTAAAAATATCCTTGCATTGTATCTACTGATACAACACAACAGTGTTATAACAGGATGTTATAACTTCAGATTGACCTTAATTGATATTCCATGGATATCAGACATTTGAGTTCCATGTTTTGGTGGCACTATGCTAGTATCATACAACAGGAAAATCTGGCAACTAGAGTGGTCAGTATTTAATATGATTCAAGTGCTATTATATTTACCCATCACCAGCATTTAAAACAAATAAATATAAGCCTTATAATAGCTTTCCCTTTGCATTTGACACTGTTATAACACACAATGACTTTCTCCCACCAGCCATTATCCTCCCATCACGTTTCTTCTCTTCCTGTTCCTCCTTCCTTCCATCACCCTTTCTATCTGTGTTGCTTCCTGTTCTGCTTCCATCTGATCCTTTCTGCCTCTCTCACTTCAAACGTTGTCCACTTGTAATGCCGAGACGTCAGTTGGGATAGTAAAGGAAGTAAAGGGGGTAAAAGGGATGTTTTTCTTCTGTGGTTTGCAAAAGAGCGAGTCATTTTTTGTGTCTGAGGTCATTTTGGCTGACTTGGCGGGCATGTTCTCATTTCTGAATTCATAAAAACTTTTCCACCTCAGGATCCAAATTGATTAGATTTTATTTTGCTGAGGGATTCAGGTTCCTTCCTATGGGTCACTAAATTCAGCATGAAAGAGTCAAGGGAAAACCTGCCTGCAGCCCGATTTTACTCCCCGAACTCACCTCAGGACCCGGGCCATTGAGAAACTAAGGAGAGGAAAATTGAAGGCTGTAAATGGCAGTTGCCTAGAAGTTAAAATGTCTTGTGATTTTGTGTGTTTGTGTGTATGTGGGACAGAGAGAGAACAAATGAAAGAAATATGTGTCTTTGGTATTTGACGAAACAAAGGGTGTGCATCCATGGCGCTGATGTTACCACGACAACAAAAAGACAAAAGTTGACCAGAACAGGGAATGTCAGGCAGATATGACCTTGCTGCACCAGTCG